GAACTCCCGCCGATTCGCAGCCAACCATCTCTTGTATGACGACAGCCATCGGACTATTGATAGGCTGTCCGTAACCTCTCTTATACTCGACAGCGATGTGCGAGAACTGAGACGACCAGCACTTCATGACTGCTTCGCAAATGTTATCCAAACCTAAAAAATTATTTGAAAAAAACATTTAATATACAGAACAGTATATTATTGAAATAAACTTTAAATACCTTTAATCCCGAGATAAGTAGTCATTTGTCCGGCGGCTGACATCTCCTCCGAGTCCTCCGAAGCACCGGAAGATCTGACGGCAAATAAATTATTTTCAAAATCATTAAAATTTGAATTCAATTTTCCTTTGATTTCTTGTCGTATAAGTTGTGGTAATTTATAGCTTGACATTAAGTCCACTAATTGAGAGCATTTAGTTTTGATCTCTTGAACCGACAATTGAGTCGATTTTTCCAAATTTTCAATTTCTTTCAACAAATCTTTGTATTCACGAAGAAGTCTTTGATATGCAGTTGTGGTCACAACCACACCATTCGGAACATTGAATTTGTTTTTATAATTTTCTTTCACTAAATCTTCGCTCAAACTCTTGAGAACCGCTAAAGAGCTCCCTTTACCTCCGCTTAATTCAACTCTTTTTGCATTTTTCTCATTGAATGCTAATACAAGTGATGTATCTTTTTCTGAAACTTCATGTGATTTGATGTTAGTCTCAAATTCTGTGTCTTTATCTTCTACTATATAACACATTCCTATTTAATAAAAATAACAAATTATTTAATTATTATTTGCACTAAAATACTGTATTTTACCTTCAACTCCATTTACTAATAAATTTTGAGCTAAACCTTTACGATTGGGTTTAATCTCAAAATTAAATGGTCTGTCTTTAAATGTTGCTTTGAATTTCAAGTTTTTATTATTTGTTAAATTTTCAAAATCTGACTTCAATAATGAAATATCTGTTAATTTGAGAAAACCTCCTAATTCTTGAAATAAGAATCCATATCTATATGTTAGGGTATTATTAATAGATACCAGTCCTATTTGAAAACCAATTCCTATAAACAATCATAAAATATATTAAAATTAATACTGTACAATTATAATTAACTCTTTAATGTATATTTTGTTACCGATTTTATTATAACCAGTGATTCGTATAATATTTCTTTCAAACGGAGTATCCATTGGAGACATTAAATACTTTTTACTAACAGATCCCCAGAAGTATAGCTGTCTTTCCTCTTCCATCTCTTCCTTGAAGTTACCCTTCATTTGACCGAATTGTTCAAAACGGTTCTCATGTCTATTCTCTGTTTGTTTGATGTCTTGAGATAATGTCAATTCTTTGGCCATAAACTGGTCATCAAAATCATGAGTGAAGTCATAAACTCTTGAGAGGGCGAACCACAAGAACCTAAACCTAACGAATACTAGTTTTCCATTATTTTTCTTGAGATATCCCCTGAATTTTATTCGCTTCCTCTTAAATGGTACTGAAATCTCAACTCCGAGTCCACAAACTCTGTACTCATTCCTGCGGTACTCGACCTCCGAGTCCTCCTCTAATGTATAGCTATTACTGTTGTTGTCATCAAATCTCAAACTAATGGTTGCATTCATTTGATTGTCNTATAGCTATTACTGTTGTTGTCATCAAATCTCAAACTAATGGTTGCATTCATTTGATTGTCGACTCCTTTTGGTCTCCATTTGATTGCAATATAAATGCTTTGTTTCGAAGAATTCACGCCATATATCAACAAATCCTCGCTTTTATCCTGATGATTTAATAATAAATTAAATTGTAGTTATGCTAATAAGAAATAGTAAAAATATCTACACAGGTATTTATTATTCATTTACAAAACTTATTGACAGTAATATCTTTGAAACAAATTTAGAAACTTTTGTAAAAGCATTTTTAGAAATGAAATTGTAATAAATACCTGAGACGGCAGGTCATACTCCCACTCGTGTTTAAATGGGAGAACCCCTGCGTCCTGAGGAGCATCGCTGAGGGCGTTGTGGACATGGATTCTGTTTGTCTTACGCGCCCTCCTCTGTGACCACAAACTGGTCAACGCTTTTAAATACTTAAACCATTGGCTATTGATTTGTGCATTTGTTTCAACGATTTTATTGATATATACAGCAAACGGCAGTGATATTAATGCTCCCATTTGTAACTCTGTGACCACAAACTGGTCAACGCTTTTAAATACTTAAACCATTGGCTATTGATTTGTGCATTTGTTTCAACGATTTTATTGATATATACAGCAAACGGCAGTGATATTAATGCTCCCATTTGTAAGCACTGGACTATAAATCACATGAAATAGTTGTTGTGAGATATCTTATATAACAAAACCAATTCTGTATAATACACTTATGAAGGCTATAATCATAAGTAGAGATAATATAATCCTTGAAATGCTTTAAATTCAATCACTAAGTATTTGATATATTAATTGAATATCTAATCAGATTTTATGGCACATTAGACCTCAATATACTGTACAGTATTGTACCCTAAACTCACTTCAACTTTAATGGAAAAATAATTGGCATTTTAATTGATTTAGCTATTATCATAATATTTTATATAATTTAATTTATTAATATTGGAATTCAAATATTATATAAGTAATATAATTTATAAATATTAGATATTACTTAATCTTGTTTGAGGACATTTGTCCTGTTCAGTATTTTATTTTCCCATAATAATGTTCAAAAGTACGGTGCACTTACTGATTGATAAACCGGTGCACTTTTAAAGTTATTTACAGAGCTGAGTATATTAATTCAAGCATCTGTGAAATTAACAATTAAAATTGTATTTTTAAGTCTAATTAATTCTCGATTAATTAATAAATATTCATTTTGTTATAATTGGATTTGATCACAATCAAATATTTATTGAGTTATTATATCATTAAATATAATAAAAGGTGTTTAGTCCGTTATGAATTAAAATTGAATAATATTTAATAAAAATATGAGTTTACACCTGTGTGAAGTGCAAATAAAATAGTTATAGAAAATTAGTACTTTTATGATATCATAGTAATTAAAAGGAATTAATAGGGGGTTGGGGTGTATCTCAAAGTTCAACTGCACTGTACTATAGCGTTAAAAGAACCCGTATGGTTTATACATTTTTGTTTTAACTTTTATATCGATTTTATGTATCAATTGCACAATAACGTTACCATACAAGTAAGTATTATATATTATAAATTATATTTTCATACCAGTAGTATAAATTTGATTTTATAATATCTAAGCCTCATTAATTGTTAAAATTATTATTTAAAATTGAAAATATAAACTGTTAGAATACATATACACAATGTTATGTTATGAAAAACATTTGTTTTTTATTTAATTGATTAAAAATGATAAAATTTATATCGGTGTTAAAATATTATGAATTGAATATAAAGAGTTAAAATAAGAAATACAATAATCCCTATAATATAAATAAATATTTACTATAAAAATAAGTAAAAAATTTATGAAGACTTCACTCGACTTTAGTGATGGTCGCGCTCTTAGTATCCAAAACACAAATATCTCCGGTTTTGAAGGCACGACACGCGCCCTCCACTGCTATCAGACACGGGATACCAAACTCTCTGGCAATGACTGCCCCGTGAGATATGGTTCCACCGATTTCTGTGATAATACCCGACAGTAGAGGGAAGTATGGACTCCAACCGATGTCTGTCGAGTATGTGATCAGTATATCACCAGGCTATTCATCAAAAAAAGTTTTTGATTATTAATACTGTATTTACCGTATTTAGACATAATTTGTTTTGCAAATTCCTAAATACCTGAATATTGTCAGCTTCTGTGATATCCTCAGAAACACAAACTCTTGCTTTTATGGATCCATTACTAACAGGAGTTCCCTTCATCTGAACCATACCTGTGCCCAGATTTGGAAGAATAATGCGATCTTCAAACTGTAAATAAGTAATAATTCAATTAAAATGTAATTTAATAGAGATATTAAATAATTGCTACATTTCTCGGCTTCATTTCTGGTCCTTTAATAAACTCTTCAAACTTATATTTATTCATTTTTGGGTAAAGCCTTTTCCGGTGTCTAACTCTCGCAAGAATTAATGGATCTCTGTCTCCATTACAGAGCGCTTCCACTTCAGTGACGGTTAAGTAGAAGAATGATTCGGCGGAAGGTATGAGTCCTTCCCTAACCATCTGTTCGGCCAAATACCAGAAGCCTTCTCTCAATTTGTTGTTCAACCAAATCATGAAATATTTGGATATTTCTCGGTATCCGATACCGCGTTGAGTGTACGGAAGGATTAGTTTCTTAACAAGGAGTCTCTTTATTGGTGTCAATGGAGTCTTGAGTTCTTCAATCAATTGGTCAACAGATTTACCAACTTTTGCCTCCAATTGTTTCTCACTTCCTGATAGCATAGTCTATATCAATTTATAAATAATAATTTAATTTAAGTTTTCAATATTTTTTAATTACTAAACCGCACTTTAATTGTTTTAATGCAAGGAATGGGGTTTCCTTTCCATGGTTTATACATGGGATCCAATTCACGATACCCTCTGTGACCGTGTCTTTCGAGGAATTGTTTGAATTTAAGAGACGACTCATCGGTTCCCTTATATAACACTTGCAGCGCCTCCTCATCTGACAATTGTTTGAATGTTTGCTTATCTTTGATAGACTTCGCGATATCTCTCAAACTGTTGGGGACTTCAGCGCTGATCACATCATTACAGGAAGAGATCATTTCATTGAGGTCTGCGTCCAGATCTGGATTATCCTCTTAAAATCATATTAAATAAATAAATTAAATATTTGTATAATTAATTAAATGTATAATTAAATGCTCACTCATAGCCCCCTGAAGAGTAGCCTTAAGAATAGCATTTTTGAGGGACGAGCCCATAGAGACGGGGCCGTGGTTTGCAAATGCAGTGTTGGATATAATGTGATAGTTGTCGAGAATTTCGTTATAAATAGCCTTTGAGTTCGAGAATTGTCTCAAAATGTTCACCAAATCGTATTTCTTTTCTTCCATAAAAAGACTCTTAGTTTTGAGTAGATTTTTGGGACCAAATAGGAGGGCATTGATTATGAAGTAAAATATCCGCACTTTTCCCACGAATGAAGAGCTCGCTCTCTCCAGACGTTTCACTTTAAAAGACTTTAAAACGTCTTCATCATCGATGTGATGCCCAAACATCGCTAAAACCATTTGTTGTGCCTGTTTTGACTCGGGGTAGTCCGCAAAGAAGTCCATCTTTCCCTATTTTTAACATTAATACCATTTTTGAATATTTTTTATAATTATGTAATTGGTGAGACTAACATTGGTCAGATTAAACATCACTTGATTGTACTGAACGCCCATTGTTTCGACAAACGGATTATAATCCTCGGCTGAGAAACTACCCTGAGATATGCCCTGACGCTTGACATTGGATATAGATATTAATTGAAAGTTTTATGGCTATAATTCATTTTACCATAAAAGTGCTTTTATTGGACCAAAACCAATTCAACACAATCCAAGACGAGGCGCCGGGAAAGTTTTCGCCCCAATGGGCCCGGGAGTAGATCTCAAACTCTGTTTGGTGAGGAGTGTCCAACTCATGCATAATCTCGTAGTCGGTGTAAGAGTTGTCTAAATTAGTTACGGGTCTCGACTGAAGCATAAATATTTGGCCCCCGAATAGACCCCACTCTATATCTCTCGCATTTCCGTAGTGTTTGTGAATCTCAAGTCCAATATCACCCAAACGTAACAAATCCCGATCACAAGACTCGGAATACCGTATTCTCTGGCAATGACTGCCCCGTGAGATATGGTTCCACCGATTTCTGTGATAATACCCGACAGTAGAGGGAAGTATGGACTCCAACCGATGTCTGTCGAGTATGTGATCAGTATATCTCCCGGCTATTCAGCAAAAAAGTCAAAATTAATTTTATTTAAATTTAATTTTGTGGAAATTTTAAAATACCTGAATATTGTCGGCTTCAATAATATCTTCTGCCACACAAACTCTTGCCCTAACGGTTCCCAAACTGACAGGAGTTCCACTCAATTGAAGTGAACCTTCCTTTATATGATTGACACGAATTGAGTCTTCAAACTAATACACAAATAATTATCACACGGTTTAGTAAATTTGAAAAATAGTTTCATTCATATGACGAACATTTTTGGGTCTCATTTCTGGTCCTTTGATAATCTCTTCAAACTTATATCTATCCATTTGTGTGAAGAGGCGTCTTCTGAGTTTAGTTTTGGACAAAAGCAACGCATCTCTGTCTCCATTACACAGCCTTTCGATCTCATCGATAGTCAGGAAGAAGAAGGTGTCGATCGACGGTATGAGTCCTTCCGATACCATCGTTTGCGCTAAATATCTGAATCCCTTTCGGATCCTATGGTTAAACCAAACCATAAAACCCTTCGACACCTCTCGATATCCGACACCCTTTCGACTCCACGGGAGGAATACCTTCCGCAGTAGATATCGTCTCCAGAATGACAGTGGAGTTCGTAACTCATTGACCACTTCATCGACGGTCTTGATCACTTTTGGTTTCAAAAAATTATCACCACCAGTTAGGATTCCCTTAAGAATAATACAATTAATATACAAATTATGATAAATAGTGAAATATAGTAAATGCATACTTTTATATTCTTAATGCAAGGAATCGGGTTGTCTTCCCATGGCTTGTGGTACGGATCCATCTCTTTATATCCTCTGTGGCCATGGATTTGCAAGAATTCTTTGAACAGTTGTGAGGCCTCGTCGGTGCCCTTCTGTAGCATTTCCAGTGCCTTCTCATCACTCAATTGTCTGAACCCTTCCTTATCTCTAATAGCTTTTGCGATTTCTCGCAAACGATTGGGCACTTCAGCGCTGATTACTTCATCACACGACGAGATCATTGAATTAAAGTCGATCTCTAGGTTTGGATTGTCCTCTGAATTATAAGATAAATATATGAATGAAATGAACGGATGTTATAATAATTTAATCAATACTTTGTGCGGTTTCGAGAATATATCTCAAAATGCCATTCTTAATGGTGGAGCCCTGACTGGCCCAACTGTGGTTAAAAAACATGACGTCCGTAACCATATACTCGTTCATGAGACCGGCGAACACCTGTTTGGCACCGGAGTATTGTCTCAGTTTGGCCGCCATATCGTATTTACCCATATGTTTGTCGATTGTGTCAAACATTGTCTTTCGGCCGAATAGGAAAATGTTTGCATAATATTTAAGTGTTGGCCATAACTTGGGTTTATTCACGTATTGACGCCTTTCCCTAAACATTTGCAGCACATCCTTATCGGTGATGTGGTGTCCAAAGAAAGCCAGTACTGAATATTCGGCTGATTTAGATTCAGGGTAATCGTAGAATCTCGCGAATGAATACTTTTGAAGAATAGAAAATAATTTAATTTTACAGTATATTAATAGATTCTATTGAAAAACACTTACATTGGTGAGATTGAAAAATAGTTGATTATAACAACAGCCCATAAAATCGATGTATGGATTGTAGTCCTCCATTGTGGCCGATGGGTCTTCGTCCAGAACTTCCCTCTGAATCACATTAAATGAAAGATATTTTACAAGAAATCAAATTAATTACAATTTACTTACAAATATTGAGCTCTTATTGGCCCAAAGAAAGCTGAAAACGAGACAAGTAGAAACACCAGGGTAATTCTCGCCCCAATGTGCTCGAGAATATATTTCAAATTCTGTGGGGTGAGCAGTGTCAATTTCATGCATGATTTCGTAATCGGTGTAAGAGTTGTCTAAATTAGTTACGGGTCTCGACTGAAGCATAAATATTTTGCCCCCTTTTAGACCCCACTCTATATCCCTGGTGTTTCCATAATGCGATTGAATCTATTAAATGAAATTAATTAATTTTTATAATTTTATGTGTATTTTAAAACTGACTATTAATCCTAAATCTCCCAAACGGTATACGTCTTCATCACTAATACAACAACTATTTTGATCTTCAATTTCTTCCTCAACAGTGCCGCCACTCTCTGATAACTTTATTATAGTCTTCTTCTGTCCGATCACTTTATCCACAATTCCGGTGATATGTCTTCTCTTGGATAATGAATTGGACTCAATATTAACGGACAATCTTATTGTGTCCGGTTCTGAAGACGCGGACACCACTGACTGTGGGATTGAAAGTCATATTAATTATAAACTAATTGCTAGTAATAGTGATAATAACGACTCACTTCTCCCAACCCATAATTGCCGGTAATCTCGAGAACCCTCTCATCACCGGTGATGGGATCACAAGTGAACATAACTCCCGCCGATTCGCAGCCAACCATCTCTTGTATGACGACAGCCATCGGAC